AAAAACAAAAAACTATAATTTACCACTATTGTTAACAGTTTTCATCATCCTCAAGATGGGCCACAGTCCTAAGAGAATATCTAAAAATTATGACCTCTATTCAAATGTGACATGAATTTCTAAAGTATTTTTCTACATTTATTTTATATTTGCTTTCCTAATTGAAGGTATGTGCTTTATAACAGAAGCACATTAAAGAAAATATAAAAACAACAACAAATACCAAGTCCCATCACCATCAAAGTCACTGATGGCCCTGGCTGGTTTGGCTCAGTAGAAAGAGCATCGGCCTGTGGACCGAAGGATCCTGGGTTTGATTCTGTTCAAGGGCACATACCTCAGTTGCAGGCTCCTCTTGAGCCTGGGTCTTGGTCAGGGTGTGTGTAGGAGGCAACCAATCAACGTGTTTCTCTCACATCGATATATCTGTCTTTCCCTCACTCTTCCACTCTCTCTAATAATCAAAGTATCCTCCGGTGAGGGTTAAAAAAAAAGTCACTGACGTATTCTGTTGTAATTCCCATTAGGCTTTTCCTCTTATGTTTTCATATGACCATATCAGCACAAAGATTTTAAAGTACAGTGGGGCCTTGACTTATGAGTTTAATTCGTTCCGTGATGGAGCTCATAACTCAAATTACTCGTATGTCAAATCACTGTGACGTTCGCTGCGCCAACTAGCAGTGGGGTATCTGAAGCTGGCTCGTAACCCAAATTTTTTTGAGCTTGCAACTCAAAGCAAAAAATCGGCTGAGAGACGGCTCGTATCTCAAAAAAAAACTCATTAGTCGGGACACTCATAAGTCAAGACCCCACTGTATGCATTTTTAAATTAATAAGTTTTCTTCTGGTTATAAACATAACAATTTGGAAATTAAAGTCCAAAGAAGAAAATAAAAACCAACATTCCCAACACTCAGATATATTTTATTCTGATGTATTGCTTTAGTTGTCATTCATACACACACACACACACAATATGTGTGTATAAATTATATTTCAAAATACTAGGTTTGTGCTGATTTGTTATTTTCCCTTTACCTTATTTTATAAACTTTCCCCCTGTTATTATTTTTCCAAATAGTTTGCCTTTCTTAACAATAAAATTTCATACTTCATTTAATCAATCCTCCGTTTTTGGACATTTAAGTCATTTCCAAGTTCCTGATGTTATAATGATATAATATCCATTTCTGATTACTTCTTACGCTAAGTTCCCAGAAGTGTAATTACTGTGTCAAAGGCATTAACATTGCTACAGCATTTGATAAATATTGTTAAATTCCTTTAGCAGTGGTTCTCAACCTTCCTAATGCTGCGACCCTTTAATACAGTTTCTCATGTTGTGGTGACCCCAACCATAAAATTATTTTTGTTGCTACTTCATAACTGTAATTTTGCTACTGTTATGAATTGTAAT